AAAAAACCACAGAAAAAAAAGAAGCACAAAACTTGTCCCACCTTGAAAATGTGATTTATCTTTGACTGTTAATAATCTGTCTACCTTTCAGACTATTTCGGCAAGGTTGGGTCTTTCATCAGCTCCTTAGGATCAGATCCCCATGCCTCAGAGAGTCTGTGGTTTGTCAGATTCTACAGCGCTCGTGCAGCTCAGTGAGTTTCTTCCAGAAACAGAGAAAATCTTTTTTTTTTTATGGGGCAAAATACAGGAGAATCTCTGCTCAATAAATGGTATTTTAATCATAACCGCATGTCCTCAAGTGATGCTGTGCTGAAGACAGCTGTATAGCTTCCTCCAGTGTTTTGAGCCTTTGCCATAATCCATCACGACTTGTTCAGCATCCACATGTAATAGTAATGCTGTCTAAAGCACGTATCCACAGCTCTTCTGGCATGGCAGTATTGCACATGAGCTGAAATTTAAAAGACTTGGGTTCACATTCTACATAGCACGCTGTCTAGGAAGACTCTTTACATGTTTTTCTTTTCCAGCAACACCTGCATGTAGGCCACACTCTTTTCTGAGAATAGCAGGCATTTGTCCACATCTCTGTATAAAGTCTTTATAGACTATGCAATGTACACAGAGCTGCTTACAAATTCTAGCTCTTTTATTCATAGATTACCAGACACAACCTTTTCGATATTACCCTGCCGCGTTAATTCAGATTGCAGCAAGTGCGTTTTACTTTTTGATATTTTATCTAAATCCAAAGGTAGATCAGTCAGAGTTTTTTCACTGGCTCCAGAACGTAGAAAGCTTATAAACCTTAAGTATTTGTGCTACCCATTTCTCTCAACGCTTCACTACTCAACAAACGCAAGAAAAGAAGACAGTTTTTCCTTGAAGGGTTAGAAAACAGTGTTTGTGCACTTTAGGTATTTCTGCATTACAGAGTCTAACTTCCAGGCTACCTGTAGGCTGACTGTGCAGTTAAACAGCCCGTACTCTTGGTCACAGAGCCTTGAAGTCTAATCCTCTGTAATTATCGATCATCTTTAAACCTGACAAGCTAAGCTCCAAAAGCTGAAGACCAAGGAAGGCTCTATCCCCTGCAGTCTCCAAATTAGCTCTTTGTACTGCAATTATAGTTTAATTCAGCTAAAAAGTAAAGGCAACTTCAAGAATTTTCTCAGAGTCTGGTGTCAGGCTTGTTTCATTTTGTTTCCTTTCAGTTCTCTTTTCAGCCAGAAGCGAAGCATCTGAAACTTATTAAAAATCCTTCAAAATGTTATTGTTTTTTCAATATAAGGGAAAAAAACTCCATGATGATGTATTAACTATACTAACGCACAATGAAAATGTTTTGCCTCAGTAGCTCAATAGGCATATGCATAAATTATCTAAATCTTAAAATGGTGAGCAGATAGATGTGTTGAATTTTTAAATAAGATTGATCCTGGGGATAAGAAAATACTGAGCACATGATTTCATTAAAAAATAGATGCTTGGTGTTTGGTATTTGATGTGTATTAAAATTGTCCAAAATGAATTTAAATCTATGTGATAAACCACTCATAAAGACATGGTTTTTATCAATGCAAGAAAACAAATGATATAATCATGCCTCTCTTCAATAATGAAGGTTTTCTGTTTGCTATCTGTTTTCTTTTCTGTTTGAGTGATTGAAGGTAGCCTGTACATGAGAGATGCTGCCTGGAGAATGAGTTTCGGCTTCGACAATCAGAAAACCAAGGAAACTGGCACAGTGAGAGACAGGCCATATCCTGGAAGAAAAAAGGTCACCACACTGGTCCATTATTCTACTCCATCTGTGTAAATCAGTTTGCAGCGGATTTGACAAAAAACCTCACTCAGCAGCAAGAATGACTGTGGCTCACCTCGCACTTGAAAATGATTTGCATGCTCTAAGGCCATTCAGAGGTAAAACTGACATCAGAGAGACGCAATCACCAACTTCTATAGGCCAGGGAACATCTGAAGTGGCAGATGAGTATTAGATGAGTGTCTAACTCAGCGTTGAATACGGCTCTGCCCTTGGCAAACCTGATAGAAGACAACGTCCTGGTGGAGACGTTGCAGTGCGAGTTATGCTCTCTGTTGCCGACTTCAAGCGGTGTGATGTGAAAAGGAATCTCCTTTGACACAAGAAAGCCTGTGATCCGTATTGAGACTGATTTTACTGCTCAGTGAAACACTGATGAAGTTCTTCAGTCAACAGATTTGCAGTTCCTGCAAGCTAAGCCACAGTTGTTAGCTTTGGAGTAGGACAATGCAAGACCACAGAATGGCACAATGGCACAACTTTATGACCGCAACTGAGGTCTTGCCATGGTTGGCTTTTTCTCCTGACCTGAATCACACAGCTTGCCCATGCCATGAAAGGGGACATCTGTGATTGGCCATCCTTCTCTCCTTTATTGCACGCACGTGCACAGGACTTGCAGCATACCCCCACAGCACTCTATCCAGGGCTGATCAGGTCTAAGCATCATCACTTCTAGGATTGTATCAAATGCACGGGGACATCATATCCGATACTGTGAAATGTATTTGTGCAGACGGTGTCACATTTTGTACTAAAAGTTATTCAAGAGACTTTTGGGCTTTATTTTCATTAACTTTTTCCATGATTTTGTTTGATATCTCATTTAAAGCATTTGAGTAAATTCATTAGACCTACTGTATGTTCTGTTTCCTCCATACATTAATACCCAAATCAAATCAAAGCTATCCAGGATTACCTATTTTCCACATCAGCAATACTCACAAGGTCCAACGTCAATTAAATCCCCCTCGCTAACAAAAAGTTATTGTTAACAGGGGAAAAAAAGATTATTTCCAACATTTATAATATTCATGTTCACTTATAAGAAGCAAGCTCCACACACAGTGCTCTTAAAGAAAATATATGGAAGCCCATCCTCTTTTTAGGAGAACTTTAAAACACTTTTCTTATAGCATAGAAAATTGCTTTGTCACTCATCCATTGTTTCCTTTAGAATGATGCTTCAATCTAAATACAAAGCAATGACACAAACCACATGAGGTTATTCTCTGTCTATTTTATTACCATTTGTGAAATTTGCACTAGTGCTAACATACTTCAGTTTATGTCCTTATCATCCTTATCTAATATTGTCTTCTATTTTTCTTAAACAATTTTCAGGCAGATAACCCACTACAGTCCAAAATGAGATTTTGACAATGTGGTCTGACATACTACTTTCTAACAGGAACCCCAAGATTTCCAGTGGAAAAAAATGAACAGCTTACATTCATAGTCCCCGAAATAATATAAACAATATAATATGATTTTATGAATCCCGTCAAAGAGTTAGCAGTCAAAAAAGAAAAGTAAAGTCAGTGGGATGAGCGTTTCAGATCGTTTTTTTCAGGACACCTCTGCGGGGCTCTGAGACAGCGTGCACACAATGTGATCTTTCACAATGGATGAGAAAATTACACGTTCACATTTGCCACACAACAGACAACAACTGAAGTGTTATGAGGGGAGGGTGGCTACTGTCTTAAACAAATATCTCAGATCTGTTCCCTGCTTCACGAACTACAACTGCTAAACCCAGACTATTGAGTTGAACATTAACCTGACTTAACTGAGTTAGTAAAAATTCCCCCTTTTTATAACAGTTTCACCAAGAATACTTAGACATATCTCTTAGTGGCATATATTTATAAGTAATTTATATAAAAGCAGGGGAGTAGTTCTTAGCGTGCTTGACCCTTAACTCAAGCTGTAGGTTTAAAATCACGAGTGGACACTGCTGTGATAAAAATGCCCATCTATATAATTGCAAGAGCAAAGGAGAAGAAACCTGACGGGTTTCTACGCATATCTTATTCGGAGAAAAACGATATACAGTAGGTGGACGTGAATCCGCGAATTAAGTTTAAATTCTGTATCTTAGAAAGCAGTCTTTTCAAACCTTGTAAAATCGGTGGACATTTTACAAATTTTTGGCAGGGGTTCTCTTATTTTAGATATCAGTACAACAGTCAACTTTTTGATGGTGCGCTTTTGTTTTTGTTTTTTTTTAATCTCCAGCGTCGCTCTTTCTGCCTGAGACATAAAAGAGATCAAATACAGGAGCTACCGGCTCATCGAGGTGGAAAAGCGGATTGATATCCCACCCTTAGCAGTAGTTCAAAAGGCAGCAAGACTTCAGAAGAGCGCTGCAAGAATGTGCTTGTTCTCCCTGCCAGTGTCTCTTTAACAGGACTTCCCCGAAGTTTGTGCTCAGTGGAGAAAGAGCGCAGCGAAAACGGCTCCGCATCTTAGTGGCAGACAGAGCAATACAAGGCCGAAACCACACGGGAACCCAGAAGAACGTAAGTCTGTCTGCAGTACCCGTTGGGGCCACCGGATTTGACCACTTGGGCGCTGATACAGCTGCCCCCCGTTACTCAGCATTTTAATTAAGAAGAATCGGAGCGCCGAACTTTCCTCGTGTGCAAACGCCTGAAACTCAAGAGGAAAACCACACGCGATTCCTTAAACATTTCATTTTTGTAGCATGTTATTTTCTTATTTTCTATGTCTTTAGGGGAGTTTTTTTTTTGGGGGGAGGGGGTCCATTTAGTTGCTTTAAATATGCAACACAAGTATGATCTGCAATACTATACTGCAGTAGACATTTAAATATAACATTTGGATATATCACTGTCAGTATGAAACATTTTATTTATTTAAGAGAAACAGATTCTTAGATGCTACTGTTTGTTGGCGTGTTAGTTGATTTTGTTTTAATTGCGTAAAAATCACTGGAAAAATGAGGAACATACAGACTGCATATCAGATATAATGAGGGACACCTTATGATTTAAATAACTAAACATGTTTTGGAAAAAAAAAAGATATACACTTAATCTTTTGACGAACTGACAAAAGCTCTGCTTTACACACTCAATCCAAAAGGCAAGATTTCTTTTTGCAACACTCTCACTGCATTCCTATCTTTTTTCTGAAGTCGCCTTACCTGCAGTCAGGAGATGAGAATATGATACTGGTCTATATATCCAGACGTTTGAAGGCAATGCAAAGGTTTTGGATATAGGTGTTCCTTAGGCTTTGGAAAGATGCAGCTGACTGAACTAAAAACTCATCGTCAGGAGTGTTTCTTCAGCGAGATTATAACCTGCTTTCCACAAACAGATCCACTCGGGAATCTTCAGAGTCTGATGTCTTTCTTGGGGCATGACTTCTCTCTTTGGGAGTTTTAGCTCCTCCTAGAAAAAAAATAATCTTCTCCGCCCCACAATTTTGCCAAAATCAACCTGATTCAGGTAGATTCAAGGGAGCATAATAAATTACACTGCGGGGTTTTGACTCGAGCGCGCCATCTGGCGGTAATGAGATATCAGCGCGGCCGTAGCGCAGGAGAGTCTACAGCACACAGTACATACAGCATTATAATTCCAAGCAAGCATTGGCAAAAAGACCTCTTGGATTTCTGTTGCATTTTCTATGTTTAGTGCGCGAAATTGAGCAATTTATATTTTTTCCTGTGTGGCGATTCTTTACCGTCTCCTTCTCTAACTTGGTGGTACACAATCGGGTGCCTACAGTAAGAATGCAGGACTCGGAGACCCCCACAGCAAAACCAAAAATGTAATAATAATCTTATTTTCTAAAACATATAATCAATTTTTCAAGCACATTCATCAGTCGAGCATAGTCTTATATCAGTTAAGAGCTGTGACTTTTATTAATTCTATGGTTAATTGTGACTTTTGAAGATGTCTTAGCAGCTTTCAAGGTTGACTGAGGCACTTGTCGTATTTAAACCTGCCCAGTGTTTTGCTATGAATGTCTCGCAGAGCTTTTGGAAGCTTGTGCCTGTTGTAGGCAAACACAAAAAAAAAACAGGTCTCCTGAACAGCGAGAAAACAATGTGATGGTAGATCTGATATAAATCTTCAAAATTCTCAAAGGCACTGACAAACTTAACTCAAATGATCTCAAATTTAAAACACAAGACAGGGGAGACTCATGGAAACTAAGCAGATAGCGCATTTAAAACCAAGAACAGGAGGCATGTCTTTACCCAAATGGTTGTGGGAGTGTGGAACAAATGTCCTAGCTACTGTTTATTGTGAAGCCAATGTTAATACCCTGGTTTAATTCAAGAAAAAGCTGGATAAGATCCCTGGCTCAATCTGCTACTACCAAGTGAGACAGATGGGCCAAATGGCCTACTTTCATTTGTGACTTCTTATGTTCTAAAATGTATTATCTGGATGGTGGCACAGATGTTGGCTTGATTGAGTTTTACACCTCCTGTAAATTCTACACTAGATAGTCTCCGGGATGTACAATATTTATTCTCTTTACATTTGAAAAGCTAAGGAAAAAGGTTTTCCTTTTATGATTTCCTGATATATAGCATTTGCTCTGTAGATATAATATCTGCAGAAGTTCGAGTAGGGAGCTGCATCAGCATGCATTTGAGCAGGTAGAGGTTAATTGCATTCTGAAAGGTAAAGAAAAGAGACTCAATGTGTTCGGCTGTGGAGCCTTCTTCAAGGGGTCAAACGCTTCTTCAAACACCTGAAGAAGGCTCCACAGCTGAAACGTTGTGTCCCTTTCAGCATGGCATAAACCTTTACCTGTTACTCTGTAGAACGTATCTAAGATGTGGTGTATAAGGTTCTAGTGGCATGTGTGAATGTAAATCTTTATAGCCATTATATACTATATACATCTAGTCAAGTTAAAAGATCAAATTAGTATATCCCTTACCTACACAAACTATTCAATCCTCAACTTTTAAATGTTCAAAGCATTTCAAACAGCAACAATACCAATGTGTATGTTTTTTTTAAATGACTTTGTTTTTCCTACAAAACCACCATAATATCATATCTAATGTGGAAAAGCATTGTATTTAGAATGACATACAGTGCATCTTGTGTCTGAGAAGATAGCTTAGCGTGAAATGGATTTAATGCTTCTTCACTCAAGTACTTGCACGCTAGATCACAGGCTTACAAGTCTTTTGAAATCTAACATAAGATTATAAATGGTTTCCTGTTGGGAGATTCCTTGGGCTAGTTTGGCAAAGTTACTGTTTTAACCTTTTTCCGCTTTTCCATCTTTAAAATATCCTGCACTACAGTATTAAATATTAATGTGGTTGCCTTTGCAGAAATGTAAGGATCCCGAGTTGCTTTACAAATCACTGCTGCTGCATTAAGCAAAAGACTTTTAACCAATAATTGGAATACTGATTATTTGGTTTTCTTTACTTTTGAGCAGAGAAAGTAAATTATAACTGCTGCAGTCATTATCTGTTAGGCTGCCTTGTTCTGCAGCATTGGAACACGTCTGTTTTGAATATCGTCCTTTGTTTACTTTTTGTTTTGTTGCATTTGTTGCTTGTCAAGATGCAGCTGGTTGAGGTACTGTCAATCCTGGAAAACAAAGATCTTGACCGAGCAGTAGACAGTGTTCTCTGAAACCTCCTCTACTGACTCATCTTCTTTCACTGGGGCTTAATCACTGATCACCCTGGTCTGTTGAACACAGGAAGATTAACAGAATTTTGGTTGGCAAAATCTGCTTGGGCTTATTGCAGGCCATCTCAGGAGCTGTTTGGTGCCCTACTTTATATTTGGTGAAGCCAGTCAGATTATCGCAGGTTTTGCTGTCAAACCTGTGCTTGGTAAAGTAAACTATATGCTATGAATCTGCAGTGAAAACCAAACAACAAAACGTGTCAATAAAACTGAATTTGGTCTAAAGTGTCCTCTGGTCCTGACCTCTATGGTAATCCGAAAGACAGAGAAAGGGGAATTCAGACAGGATGTAATTTTATTGCTCGTATTTCTTTTTCTCTACTCAGAACAAGACTGACAGAAACCAGGTGTTCATTTAAAGATCTGTTTTTTGGTCGGACATAACTCTGGGCTTTCCGCTGGGGTCAGAAGTGGCCAGTTGTGGTGAGGGAGGGAAGTCTTGATCATATCGCTTCCCCTTCCCTCTTGGCAGCACTTTAGATCCATCCGCAGGAAGGACCAGATAAAAGAAGGGCTTTGAAATATTCTAAACCTACAATTAAGCTCTCTGGCAGGCCTACAAAGCAGTGATGGCCTCTTAGCCGATAGGCAGCTGATCAAAATAATAAACAAGGGACTTCCTACTGAGGCAAGATGAGAAGGCAATTGGTTTGACAAAAACACATCAAGGCCGTCAATATTTCTTCATTTATTTACTTACGTAAACAGCAATGTTGAACAACCAACAATTATTTTCATAGGACATTTAAATGGATGAGTTCCGAGGTGACACAGTGGATAACACTGCTGCCTCGCACCACTGGAGACCTGAGTTGCCCTCTGTGTGGAGTATATATGTTCTCCTTGTGTTTACATGGGTTTCCTACAGACACTTTCTTCCGACAGTTCAAAGACATGCTGGTAGGTTCATGGGCTTCTGGGAAAAGTGGCCCTGGTGTGAGTGTGTGTGTTTGTGTCTGTATGCGCCCTACGGTGTACTGGCATCCTGTCCAGAGTATATCCCACCTTGTGCCCATTTCTTGCCAGGATGGGCTCTGGCTCTCTCATGTGACACTGAATTGGATAAAGCAGTTGAAAAATGGATGGATGAATTTTTTAGAACATAATAAGGATTGGTAAAGGAGTGGGGCTCTTCCACCAATCTTGCTTGTATAGTAGTTTAGTAGCCAAACGAAACTAAATTGTTGTTCATCTGTGTGGAATTCAACCCCCTGGCTGGAAAGCCCATTCCATATATCCTATTTAAGATTACGTTATATCCCTGTATAGAAATTTGATATTATAGCCTCAAATCAGTTACTTATTTATCATGATGGACATTTTTGTAAAATGATGCATACTGAAATAAGTAAAGAGTTCATTACAAAATTAATAAGAAATAGATAATTTCAATTTAAATTTCAGTTATTTTGAATGTTTTTTTTTCAAGTGTAGCAAATGTTACATAAACTATAAACCTCTTCCATTATCTTAAATAACAGTGTAGACCTAGTACTGTTGTTGTAGTAAAACAGTACTACAGTTCTAACAGTACTTTGCAGTTCTGATATATTATGCACACAAACCAGAACATAATGTATGTCATTGGTGCTGTTCAATTAAAAATAGGTACTTTGTCTTATCTAACACATTACACTGCAGTAATATTGCTGGTCAGTCTCTTCACATGTCATGTCTTAAGAGCTTATTTATGAGGTGTTTGAAAGTTTAAGTTGCACTAAAAATGTGCTGGCTACAGTACTTTATACACAACACACTGACTGAAGGAGGTTTGTGACCTTTGTTTGAGGCCTAGTAACCAGTTTGTTCTTTGGAACCTCTGAGGCAGTTACCATGGAAACCACAGCGTTTGGTAACCCACTTCAGGAAGGACGTGAGGCAGTTGGAAGGAATCTGGGAATATTCTACACAGGGTTTCAGCTTGTGCAGGGGAGAGAGACGAACCTTTGTTTATTTTTATTTTTGCATTCTCCTCAGAATACTCTGCAAATTTGTGGAGTATGTGTCAATGCAGACAACACAAATGTCAATGTTATTTCCAATTGGTAGAGTCCACCTGTCTGACAAATAAATACATCTAAGCTGTATTGATCATTTTACAATCATTCCATTTTCTAACTGGTTTATCCAAATTCAAGGTCATGTGGGAGATAGAGCCCAACCCAGCAAGCAGTGGGCACAAGGCCGAATACACCCTAGATTGCACAGAAACCTGTATAAAGTCAGACCAGGGCCAGTTTCCCCAAAATTAATTTACCAGTGTGCCTTTGGACTGTGGGAGGAAACTGGAGCACCTGGAGAAAACCCACATGAACACAGGAAGAACATATAAACTCCACTCGTATAGTCACCTAGGGAATTGAACCCAGGGCCCCAGTGGTGTAAGTCAACAATGCTAACCACTGCACCACCCTCATTATTAAACCCTGAAATATAAAGCATGCACTCCAGTGGTCTAGTCAAAGTTATTCTATAAAGATACTTGTACAACAGTTTTCACACCTAGGCTAACAGTTGTTAATAGTCTATTGTTTACAGAATATTGATTAAAACATGTATTATTCTATTGTGTTATACATGACCATATGTACTCATGTATTGTGTTAATTCTTCTATGTATATTTTGAAAGAGTAAAAATGTTGTTTTATTTATTTATCCCTGTTACTAACCAGATCTCAATTCACCTATTGTGTAATAATCAACATGATCATACGAGAGAAAAACCTACCTAGAGAAACCAAGAGAAATCTGAAAAAGAGGTTTAAGAATTGTCAGGCAAAACAGGCTTCCTGCAAGTCAGAGGTTTCAGTAAATCTTTGCACACAGAGAGGCTTTGGCAGTGATTAGAGAAATGTTGCTACAATTGCTTGTCTTCCCCTCCTTATGTTTGTCACATTATTCTGTATTTGGCCTGATATCCTCTTGGTAAGACAACACGGAATTAACATTTGTTGC